GGGTCGGGCCTAAACCAGCAGTCAGACATCCCCCAAGGGGTCCCGGATTGCGACAGGTAGCAGGCTGGGCTGAAGAACCCCCTCCACCCTTGACTCCGTACACGAATTTTGTGCACTGAGCCTCTAGTCATAAATAATGCTGCAGTGAACATGGGGGTGCACATGTCCCTTTAAGATAGTGATTTCATTTCATATATATATATACACACACACCCCCAAACTAGGATTGTTGGATAATATAGTATGTAGTTATGTTTTTAATTTTTTGAGGAACCTCCTTGCTGTTTTCCATAAAGGCTATACCAGTTGACATTCCTACCAAGTGTGTACCCAAGGTTCCCTTTTCTCTACATCTTTACTAGCACTTGTTATCTTTTATCTTTTTGATGATAGCCATTCTAACAGGTGTGGGTGATATTTCTTTGTGGTCTTTGTGTTTTTAAAAATATATTCTTAGTGATTTTTAGAGAGAGAGGCAAGGATAGATAGAAACATCAATGAGAGCAGAACATCCATTGGCTGCCTTCTGCACGCCCCCACTGGGGATCGAGCCCAAAACCCGGGCATGTGCCCCAACCAGGAATTGAACCAGTGACCTTCTTGATGCATTGGTTGATAATGAACCATTGAGCAACACCAGCTGGGCTCTCATTGTGGTTTTGCTTTGCATTTCCCTAATGATCACTAATATTAAGCACCTTTTCATGTACCTGTATGACTTTGTAAAAGTGTTTGTTGAGGACCTTTGCCCATTTTTAAATCAAATATTTGTTGTGCCCTAACTGGTTTGGCTCAGTGGATAGAGCATCAGCCTATGGACTGAAAGGTCCCAGGTTCAATTCCGGCCAAGGGCATGAATTGGTTGCGGGCACATCCCCAGTAAGAGGTGTGCAGGAGGCAGCTGATAGATGTTTCTCTCTCATCGATGTTTCTAACTCTCTATCCCTCTCCCTTCCTCTCTGTAAAAAATCAATAAAATATATTTTAAAAAATATTTGTTGTTTTGCTATTGAGTTGTATGGATTCCTTATATATTTTGAGCATTAATACCTTATCAGATATATGGTTTGCAAATATTGTTTTTTATTTCATAGGTTGCCTTTTTATTGATTGATTGTTAGAGCTTCTTTTTCTAATTATCTTATTTCATCTCTAATAGATAGTCTGCCCTTGATCGTACTAACCATTTTTCTGCCAGAGGCTTTTGTTCTTGTGTGTTTCAGTTGTTCAGTAACTGTTTCCTAGAAAAAAAGAATCTTTAGCATCTGTTTCCTAGAAAGGATTTAAAGAGATTACATTTTAAAAAATGGATTAGGATTGCAATTAATATGATTTTTGTCTTGATTTATGTCTTTTCTTAAAAATATTTTTTTATTGATTTCAGAGAGAAAGGGGAGAAAGAAAAAAACATCAATGATGAAAGAAAAATCATTGATTGGTTGCCTCCTGAATACTCCCTACTGGGGATCCAGCCTGCAACGCGGGCAGTGCTCTGACTGGGAATCAAACCTGGGACCCTTCAGTCCTCAGGCCAATGCTCTCTATCCACTGAGCCAAACCAGCTAGCGCGGTTTCTGTCTTTATAAAACTTTACTTTAAATGAAATTTATATATGGATGGTTAATGAGTGGAGCCTAAAGCTGACTGGCATAGTTGGGCATTAATTAGTTACTATCCACATCTCTGAAAGACCATGTACCCAACACCCAGTCTAGATAATGAGGTCTGTAGTGTGTCTGGCTGAGGTCAAGTATTAAAATGTCCTACTCAGAGCTCCCTCACCAAAGGAGGTCTAGGCATGAGACCATGAGAGTCTGTGGCCCTTGCTGCTTTTGTTTGATTTCAGAGACATGGTACTTGCAAAACTTAAAAAAAAAGTTTTCATGTTTTCAAAATCCTTGGGAGCTACAGAGTGGAGGTTCAGACCAAAAAGGTTGCTTCCTGAAGTGTTTATGCAAAGGGTCATTTTTAGAGCGTTCTGTGGAATGGAATTGGATCTGACGTCAATTCTCAGTATGCTTTCTCTCCCCTGGAGAAACAGCCCATATGCACAGCCAGATGTGAGACTGGAATCTTCATTACATAAAAATAATGCTGGGAGAAAATGAGACTATTACTCTGAGTGAGAGGTTGGGGAAGAACAGAGTTTACTGTAAGCCAGACGTGACTGAATTTTTCTTATATGCACTTAAAAAACCTTCAATTCTGTGTAATCCATAGTGCATAAAGCATAAGTGTGCAGTAAATTAATAATAATGGAATACTTGTGTAACCATCACCCAGGGCATTGCCAGCACTCAGAAGCTTCCAGCAGTTCCTTTTGTCACTACCTACTCACCCTTCAGATGGAGCTTCCCAACTCTATGATAATAATTTCTTTGTTTTCCTCTTTACAGTTACTCCTCTTATATGCATTCCTAAACAGGATGAGTTAGTTTTGCCTGTTGTAGAACTTCATATACATGGAATCATATTGCATTTTTGTGTGTCTTAATCCTTTAACTCAACATTTTGTTTGTGATAATCATGCATGTTGTTGCATGTATCTGTGGTTTGTTCTTTTTTATTACTATACTAGAGGCCCGATGCACGAAATTCGTGCAAGAATAGGCCTTCCTTCCCCTAGCTACTGGCACCGGCTTCCCTCTGGCACCCAGGACCTGGGCTTCCCTCGCAGCCCTGGCTTCGTCTGGAAGGATGTCTGGTCTAATTAGCATATTACGCTTTTATTATTATAGACTAGAGGCCCGGTGTACGAAATTTGTGCACGGGGGGGGGGGGGATCCCTCAGCCCTGCCTGCACCCTCTCTAATCCAAGACCCCTCGGGGGATGTCAACTGCTGGTTTAGGCCTGATCCCACAGATTGGGAGCCCTCAGGGGATGTCTTACTGACGGCTTAGGCCTGCTCCTTGAGGGGAGCGGGCCTAAGTCACAGTCTGGCCTCCCTCTGTGGGAGGTGACCAGGTTGATCAGGGGAAGGCGCTGCCCTCATCACCCCAGCCACTGCTGTTGCCTCTGGCCCATCACCCCGCCACTGCTGCTACCACTTCTGACCTCCCTCTGCGGGAAGCGACTGGGCAATCAGGGGAAGGTGCCCCCCATCACCCCAGCCACTGCTGCTGCTGCCTCTGGCCTCCCTCTGTGGGGGGAGGCGGGGGGGACAACTGGGCAATCAGGGGAAGGCGCCGCCCCCATCACCTCGCTGCTGCTGCCACTGCCGGCCTTCACAGTGGCCTGCCCTCGGCCCTCATAGTCGCCATAGCTGCCTTCCCTTTGCCCTTGCAACTGTCGCCATGGCTGCCTGCCTTTGGCCCTCGCAGCCACTGCGGCTTTGTCCAGAAGACTTCTGGTCTAATTAGCATATTACCCTTTTATTAATATAGATTGTATTTAATTGTATGGCTATACCACAATTTATTATTTTATTGTTGGATGTTTGATTTTTTCTAATCTGAACCAACTGCAAATAATGACACAACATTCTTGAACTTGTCTTTTTGCTGCATGCATTTCGCTTGGGTATGCTTAGCTTGAACCATGTGAAATGACCATTTTTGTGCATTAAACAGTCAGATATTAATGATTTCATATGGTTCAATCTAATACCTAGGAGTAGAATTGTTGGATCATAGGAGATACCTATGTTCATTTTTAGTAGATTTGTCCAGTTTTTTTTGAAAATCTTCTACCAACTTAATCTCCTGGACCCGTTCTTTTGGGTTTTTATGGATGCGTCATTACACAGTCATGATTAATGAAATCATTGGCCATTGGTGATTAAACTCAGGGTATAATCTCTCTTTCCTCCTCAGAGGTCAGGGGTAGGGCTGAAAGTTTGAACCCTCTAATCACTTGGTGACCAGCCTCCTCCCTCATTTTTAGATGCTTTCCAAAAGTTACCCTGTTAATATAAACTCAGTTGCTGTTGAAAGCGGCTTGCTATGAATAATGAGACGCCCCTTTCATCTCTATGGCTTTGGAGGAATTTCAGGAACTGAGGAAATGAACTATTTAACTGCAGAAGTATCCTATAGTTTATAGCATATTCCATTGAATTAATTTTGTTATAAGCACAATACCAATTATGTGTGTGGGGGGGTTCCTGTTTTTTGTTTTTTTAAATATTTTTATTGATTTCAGAGGGGAAGGGAGAGGGAGAGAGAGAAACATCAATGATGAGAGAGAATCATTGATTGGCTGTCTCCTGCACACCCCACACTGGGGATTGAGCCCACAGCCCAGGCATGTGCCTCAACCAGAAGTGGAACCATGACCTTCACGTTCATAGGTTGACGCTTAACCACTGAGCTACCTTGGCCAGGCCCAACATGGTTATAATATTCTCTTTTGAGCACCTGTGATGCTGTGTTGTCTCCATGATGTGAGCAACTGAATGACTAGTTTTGCTTATTGTTACAACATATTTTTCATAATCTTCTCCACTCTTACAGTTTATTGATCTTTTACTGCAGGAACAGTTCCCATGTCTCTGTCTGTTCTGTTGAATTTTTGAAGGAGACGATATGCATGATATCTCTGCACCCTCACTTGGCTCTGTCAGCAGAGACAGGGTTTCCTTTCATATTAGCATGTGTGTTTAGTCTTGCCTTTCAATCTCCGCATTAAGAAGTGATCATTGGGAGGGAGCAATAGTGAACAAGAGAAGATACGTAATTTTTCGAGTAGGTTGTAGACTCATGCTAGTTTCAGAAGTGTGTTTGGCTAAAAGGACTTAATACCCAAACTAGAATCAAAACTCACAAAGCTTACATATATTTTGGCTTGGTGCGTGCATATCTCCCCCTTACTCCCAGGAGCCTAGGTAATACCCCAACACCCAACACTCTTATCTGAGTGGAGAGAACACAGGTAACATCTGAGGACTTGGATGCTTGTGCTTCTAAAACTCTGTGGGAATGCTTAGAATTGCAGTTTATGTTCCTGACCCTGAAGGCACCTTTGTAATTACTAATGAAGAGTTGGCCTTTCTCCATTGCAGATTGACATCAGTAAATGCCATTATTTAGTGGATTTGGACACCATGAGAGAAACACCCCGGGAGCCAAAATATTCATCTAACAGGGAAGAATGGATCAGCCTGGCCTACAGACCGTTCCTTGATGCTTCCAGGTATGTGGCTTTAATCCTAAGTGATGTGTTAGGATTAGTAAAGGTGAAAATTGGAATCTAGGATTGAATAACTTCCAGCCCTAGGCTGATGCTAGTAGCCATCATTTTACTTTATTTTTATTTAGACCCAAGCACATCTTCTATCCTTGTCCAGTTTCCTGAGAAATCTAAAAGCACTCTCTTTTTCTAGGTAACAGAATACAAAATATATTCTAGTATCATCTAAATAAAAGAATCTAAGTAAAGCAGATGGATCCATGAAGAAAATACAAATAAGTGTTTAACACTGATTATTTTCAGCAACCAACGTCATCTATTTTAACTGAGAGCATTCTAACACAATTAGGAAGATTGACTCTGTCCTTTAGGAGCTAGAAGTTCGTATCCATTATTTTTAGGCACAAGGCTCAGCCAGGGATGGGATAGGCCTTACTATGTCTTAACTAGAGAAACCAAATAGACCCGGGCATGGCTGGCTCTTCAGAAAGGTCTCAGAATTAATGATGAGAGGGGAGTCAGGGCATTCGGGTGAAGTGGTAATGGGGCGGGGGTGAGTTGGAAGGGTCAAGCTGTCTGTGGGCAGAGATCCAGGTAAACAGACAGTTGAAGTTGAGGAGGGTCAGGGAGTCCCAGAATCCAAGAGGTTGGGCAAAGAGCAAAAGGTAGAGGAGCTTGTCTTGAGAGACAGGTCTGGGACTCAGAAACAGGGAAGAGAATGTTTTTAGGAGGAGGGGGTCATCAGAAGCTGCTGGTAAATCAACTGAGAGGAAGAATAATTGTCCATTGGACTTGGCAGCTGATAAAAGTAATTTTGGTGGAGTAGTGGGGCGTAAGCCCTTGAGAGATTAGATGGGCCAAAGCAAAAACAGAATACGTATTGGAAAAGGCAAATATAGACAAGTCTTTTGGAAGGTTTTGCTATAAAGGGAAACAGAGAAACAAGGCTATAGCTCATGGTGGGTGTAGGGAAGTGCTGACTGGAAAGATTTTTATCCTTAAAATTTTTTTTATTATGGTAATATATAGATAGATAGATAGATAGATAGATAGATAGATAGATAGATAGATAGATATGACATAAAATTTGACATTTTAATCACTTAAAATTCAGTGGCATTAATTACACTTACAGTATTGTGCAACCATTACCATTATCTTTTTTTAATTGAGATATAATTGGCATATAACATCCATGTAAGTTTGAGGTGTACATTTCTTTTTTGTGTTGAGAATACCACTATTTGCAAAACTTTTCTGTCACCCCAAACTGTTCCTCTTTTACTTTTTTAAGATGAGGAAAATAACATCATGTTACATACTGATGGAAGTGGTCTCTTATAGGGCTGAAACCTGATCATGGAGAAAGGAAAGAATTGCTGAAGCACTGCCCTTGAGTTAGTGAGAGGAGCTGCACAATAAGTCAGGATGTGCTGTAGGCAGACATACAGATAGGTCTCTGAACAGCACTGCCCGGGAGAACTTCCTACACGATGGAGATGTTCTGCTCCATCCAATACAGGAGCCACAGCCATGAAGTAGTAGCTATTAAGCATTCGAAAAGAGACTAGCAAGACTAAGGAACCAAATTGTTAGTTTTATTTAATCTTAACTAATTTAAATAGCCACACATAGCTACTAGACAACATAATAGTAACAGGCAGCAGGGAGGTGTGATGATGGGGGTCTGGAGGTTCTCTTCTGATGGCCTCAGTTTTCTGAACAAAGAAGGAATAGGGTTCTCGAATGAAAAGGGAGACTAGGGAATGAGGTGTTAGAGATTTGAGGAGAGAGAAGGAGTGAAATAATTGATGAGAATAAGAGACAAAAGGAGCTTGAGAATTATGGTATGATTGGAGGACAGACTCAGGAACTCACTTGAATGTTATTTTCTATTTCTATAGATTTGCCTTTTTTGAACCTTTCTTTGCTCAGTTAGTTAGAGCATCATCCCCATATGCCAAGCTTGCAGGTTCAAGCCCTGGTCAGGGCACATACAAAAAGCAACAATGAGTGCATAAATAAGTACAACAACAAATTGATGTCTCTCTCTCTCTCTCTCTCTCTCTCTCTCCCTCTCCCCCCTCTCCTTCTCCCCCCCTCCCTCTCCCTCTCCCACTCCCTCTCCCTCTCCTTCTCCCTCTCCCTCTCCCTCTCCCTCTCTCTCTAAAATCAATCAGTAAATACATTTAAAAATATTTTTGATTTCAGAGAGGAAAGGAGAGGGAAAAAGAGATGGAAACATCGACGAGAATCATTGATCGGCTGCCTCCTGCACACCCCCTACTGGGGATCGAGCCCAAAACCCAGGCGTGTGCCCTTGACCGAATCAAACCTGGGACCCTTTGGTCCACAGGCTGATGCTCTAGCCACTGAGCCAAACCAGCTAGGGCAATAAATTTTTTAAAAGTCACTTGAGTCTTAAGTGGGACCAATGTGGTTGCTTCTCTTTTCCAGCTACTTATAGCTGTGTAGTGAATCACAAAACAGGCAAATTTAATAAGTTGTTTTTTAAAACAACAACAACAACACATACAGCTTTATTGAAATATAAGTTACATACCATAAAATGTACCCATTTTAAGTGTACAATTCAATGATCATTAGTAAATTTACCAAGTTGTGTAACCATCACCACAGTTCAATTTTAGAACATTTCTATCACTCCAGCAAGAGCCCCCTTTCCCACTCTCAGCTCCAGAGAACCACTGATTATTTTCTATTTCTATGGATTTGTCTTTTTTTTTAAATAGTATTCACATTCTTTGTTTTTTTTAAAATATTTTATTGATTTTTTTTTTTTTTTACACAGAGGAAGGAAGAGGGATAGAGAGTTAGAAACATCGGTGAGAGAGAAACATCGGTCCGCTGCCTCCTGCACACCTCCTATTGGGGATGTGCCTGCAACCAAGGTACATGCCCTTGACCAGAATCGAACCTGGGACCTTTCAGTCCGCAGGCTGACGCTCTATCCACTGAGCCAAACCGGTCAGGGCATATGGATTTGTCTTTTGTGAACCTTTCATATAAGCAAAATTATGTAATATGTGGGGTCTTGTATCAGGATTTTTCCACTTAGCATGTTTTTGAGGTTTATTCATATGATAACATATATCAGTGCTGTCCTTTTTATTTCTGAATACTATTCCATTCTGTGGATATACCCATTGTGTTTATTCCTTTACCAGTTGATGGATATTCAGGTTATTTCCACTTTTGGGTTATTATAAATAATACTGCTTTGAACATTCATTTGCCTGCCTTAGGGTTGGGTTTTAGCCTAAAAAGTTCAACAAAACATGAAATGGCAAGGGAAGTGAGGGTTTGTGCAGGGAAGTGATATAATGATTGATGGCCTTAAGTTGGGTAAGGAGGGAAGGACAGGGCATGGAGGAAGTGGGAAGCCATGAAGGGTGGTAGAGTCATGGATGGATTGATGTTAAAACTGTCAGAATTGGAGAGTAAGAGGAGGGTGTTGGAGAGAAGCAGTGTGAGGGTATGAAGTTGTTCTTTGGTGCCTGGCTTGTTATTTGATGTAGTAGTTGGGGTAGGTCTCCACTGTGACTTCAAATGTTTTGGGGTCAAGAAACTGTGACAACATGAGATCTGGGCCTGGGAAGATCTCCAACCCTGAGAGGACAGCAGATCCCAAGCAGCCTTCCTACTGACAACGGGAACTTCGTGGTTCCCAAACACTGACCAACAGTACATTGCTTGCAGAATAAATTGTTCATGGCACATGGGGCAAGTGAGTTTTTTTGAGGTGACCTATTTTCATTCTGGTTTTGAAGGATTGAAAGGAGAAGGGTTCCTACCCTAGTTGGTTTGGCTCAGAGGATAGAGCATCGGCCTGCGGACCAAAGGGTCCCGTGTTTGATTCCAGCCAAGGGCACGGTCAAGGGCACGTACCTCGTACCTCCCTGGCCCAGGTCCTGGTGGGGTGGGGGTGGGGAGGCGTGCAGGAGGCAACCAATGATATGTTTCTCTTGCATTGATATTTCTCTCTTTCCCTCTCTCTTCTACTTTCTCTAAAAATCAATGGAAAAATATCCTCAGGTGAGGATTAAAAAAAGGAGAAGGGTTCCTCATTCCCATTTCCCCTTTGGCTGGTGCACATAAACTGAGAGCCCCTGGGGCAAGGTGAAGACACATGACATGTGTGCGCTTTTCACTGGAAAACTTGAGGGAAGAATAAAAGGTGTTGGTCACCTCCCACCTGTCTCGTGGTGAGCAGAGTGACTGGAGGGCACCGGCGATCGCACAAGGATGTGGTTGAGAATCACTCCTCCAGGCCTGTGTTCAGCATGCTCCTCTCCGGCAGGAGCAGGGGACACATTGGGGACGTGCCATTCGCTGTTCCCCACTGAACATCCTGCTTCCCTAACAAACTACATTTTAAGGGCAGAAATAAGGCATAATTGGATCAATTTGATAAGCATTTATTCAACATCTTCTACATCTAAGACTCTAGACCAGTGGTCGGCAAACTTATTAGTCAACAGAGCCAAATATCAACAGTACAACCGTTGAAATTTCTTTTGAGAGCCAAATTTTTTAAACTTAGACTATATAGGTAGGTACATTGTTATTAACTTAATTAGGGTACTCCTAAGCTGGCCTTTGCTAAAAACGTCCTCAATCTGATTGAGGTAACTTCGCTGAGGTTGACCCCTTCCAACTCTCCCATCCACACTCATCTTGTATACTTGTTTCATCTATCTCCTTTCGTTCATCCTCTCTGTATGTGCAAACCATCTCAACATACCTTTCTCAATCCTCAACACTACATCTTCTTTCACTCCACAACATTCCCTAAAAATAACTTGATAAACTTTACTTAAAGTTTTAAGTCAACTTCGCACTGTAGGTGCACGCCCGCAAGGGGTATTCTGTGGAAGAGCCACACTCAAGGGGCCAAAGAGCCACATGTGGCTCGCGAGCCACGGTTTGCCGACCACTGCTCTAGACGGTGCAGACCAGACCACTGCCTTGGGGAGTTTATT